ATTAAGTGTATTGGTTAGAACTATCATTATTAGAAGGACTATCTTGGAAAAAAATGCATAAATATGAGAGAAAAAATGGATTGGGGTCTTATAATTAGGACCAAATAAAAAGTCAAACGGGGTCTTATATTAAGGACCGGAGGTAGTATTTCTTAATATCTCGTTTTGTGATCGAGATATTTTGAAGATAATGGTCGGATTCACATCAACTACTTATGCTTTTTTGACCACAGACCCCCCCGACTTTTTCCATGGCACAGACTTTATTCACTTGTTATCATCTTAACATTTGCTTGCTCATTGGCGTTCGTTTTAAGTCGTCAAGCACTTATTGGCCATTCATTTTCTTTTGTCAAGGTGCAGGTACACAAAGCTTAAAAATAACTCGGGTTGGGTCTGACAAAAGAAAACTAACCTATCATAATGTGACAAATGAATATTTGAATCCCACTAAAAGAGTTGTTCACATTTAGTGTCCGATAATGTTTCGAATAGAATTTTTACCAGTAGAAAGATACCTATACTTTAGTTAAAAAAAAAAGCTTAAAAATACCTAAAAGAAAGAACTGAAATATAGAAGTCTTAAGCCAAAGGATATAATTTTAAAATTAAAGAAGTCAAAATTCTTGAGAAAAACTAAATATCTTGGAGCATTCCATCACATTCTTTCGTTTGAAGAGAAGTTATATTAATAGGAGCTTTGTCATATTTGGCCATTCATTTATTCAAATGATAAGGTGATATTTTGATTTTTTTTCAATAGAAAATATATGCCCATATTAATTATAAAAGAACAAAGTGAAGGTATATTTTGATCCGAAAACTAGTAAAATTATATTTAAGTAAAGCTAATTCAATGGTTGCCATCCCTATCTTATTTAAATGAAGCTAATCCTACAAGTGAGCTATACTATTTAAGACCAAATTTTTTTTCTATAAAGAACTTATAAATAGATACCATAAATAGGGCTTTTACAATAAATAAAAACACGGCCAATTTAGGCAGTGGCCAGATGAAAGTAAGGAAAAAACGGATGATAATGAAATCGGACACGTGGAGTAATATAAGTGGGCAAAAATGGATGCAAAAGTTGTGCCGCTCAGTTTGGGACAGAATGATGGGATGATATGGCGATGAGGACACTCCTCAAAACCCAATTGGAAGGCAGCGCATAGGATCACTCACCCATCCCCCATCATATATCCGAATCCTTCGTGGCAGTCTCCTATTGGCTTTCGGTGCCACCAAAAGTTTGTTGCTTTCCTTTATCCGCCTCAAATGTTTTGTGAGATCCCAAAAAAAAATCCATTTTAAATTTAAATAAAATTGAATATTATGAGATTATAAGCCTCTACTTTGTATGAGTATTTTTAACCAAATTTTTTCTCCAATCAATATATGAATCCTGCTGCTTACATTTTAAATATGACACATTCTTACCCTATATTATACATATAGTCCTCTCGGTTTTAGTTATAGGCCAAAGTTAACTAATTTCACAATTTTAAGGAGTAGCAGTTAATATTCTTAGATTTTTAGAAATACTCCTGTGTATTACTTCTCAATTTTTCCTTTCATTAAAATTAATGATCATAACAAAATGTTATTTAAGAATTAAAACATGATAAGAACTTGTTGCAGTGTTAATTAAAAAGGGGCGAGATAAGGAAAAAATTAACTTTATGATGAACTAGGGATTTAAAATTTTGCCTTGTAACTAGAATCAAAGGAAGTATTCACTAAGAAAAATATTTAGGTTGCTGAGATCCCAATTTTTTCAACTCTGCATTTATTTAATTTTTGCCAATTGGGTGGCTAGGAATTCTGACATATTTCTAGGGACATCTTAAGTAAAAAGGTATATTCATTGTTCTTAAAATTCTACGAGATGGATTAATTATATGTTGAAACATAAAACTTTCCAAAATTGCTTTGTATTTGAAACAGAGGTCATATTTGATTTTTTTCCCCCTTTACTCAAAGGTACTATTTGATAATATCTAGCACTTTCGTTATTTTTTCCCCTAGTTTACATTTGGATAGAATTAAATATTCCTCCAGTCCTTAATATATGACACAATTCTTAAATTGATTTTGATCCAAAATATAAGACCCATTTCTTATATTTATCAATTTTCTCTAAATTACCCCTATGAATACTTCCTCAATCATAATCAAGTAAAAGAAGGAGAGGGGGTATTAAGAAAGATGATTATGGTGTTTTAAGAAAAATGTGTCACTTTTCTTATAATTAACTAGCTTACCTAACTTCCTTAATTTAATCAAATTAATTAAATGGGTCTTATATTAAGGATCGGAGGAGTAATGATATTTGGAAAATGTGCCTCGTGTGAATCTATTAAGTATATTATTTAAAAGTAATGTAATTTTATTACAAAATCAATGATTTAATTGATTTTTTTTATCCAAAAAACTCTTAATTGATATTTAACTCAGTTGGTCCATGTGGAGTTAGTTGAACCATATCAAAGAAAAGACTATTTTGCAGGTTCTTATGCTTTTTCTTGATTTTTAATTTGATACACATATGTTCTTCTCTTACAATTAAATCCTTTAATTTTGTTTTGTTAACATGATTAGCCCTTATAATATTGCTAACAGAACAAAATTGAAGGATTTAATAAAGAAAAAGGTTTTGGGTATCTAATCAATTGGGTGCCTAATCAATTGAGAAAAAGTCTAGTGGCCTAAATGATTTCTCCTATTTTAAAGCAAATAAAAGAAGTCAAATTATTCATACATTATATTTATATATAGGATAAAATTCATAAAAATCGACTTAATTCCCAGGTTTATATTATACATAAATATATGTACATTAATCCAATCAATATTTATTGGACAAAAAGAAAACAGAGAAAGAAGAAAGGAAAATAACAAATAAAGAAGCTAGATATTTCAAATGAGGTATCTATGATAGAGAAGAAAATAATGTCTAGTCTAATATTTTGTAAACGTAATTAAATAAATAAAATATCCATATATCAAAAGGTCTATTAACAAGTTCTGAATTGATAATAATAAGTGTTAAACAGTGAAGGATAAGATATGTATTGGCAATAGCAAATCATTTATTAACAAATTACGAACTGGTAATAACAAGTATTAAACAGCCAATAACAATAAATATATTGGTAATGATAAGTTTAATAGTTTTTTTTTCACATCTAATACAAAAGCATTTTAGTCATTTAACTATATTTATAAAAATACAACATCAGACACCACTTTCTTCTTCATCATTTTTAATTTTTAAGTGTCTGAATTAGAAAATTGATAATTTCAGAATTTTTTTCTGGAATTTTTAAAAGAAGAAATATATGGTAGCTAATGAAGTGTGGGCCTCAGTTTTGGACCTTGGATTCTTTTTCGGTTAGGAAGAAGACAGAAACCAAGCAGAAAAGAAAGTGATGGAAAAGTGAGTGCGTAGATCAGGTGAGGCCAGACATGGATTTATGAGGGAAATCAAATCATGAGCTTATTAGTCTCATTCCTCACCAATTGTTTAACGTCCAATGCCTTTATCCTTTGCCATATCTATATAACTTATACCCGGTTAGTTAGTGGCATCATCAACAGTAAAGCTACTTTTTTCCCTCCACACACCAATTAGAGCAAAAAGAAGAGGCTAGAATTGCCCACAAGTTCCCTTTAAAAAAAAAAGGATTGAACAGGAACCCATTCCCAAGTGTATCTTTGTGTTTTAAACTTAAAAAAAAAAAAAGGCAGAAAAGACGAACATAAATGTACGTGATACAAACCTCCATATTTGCCACAACTTTTTTTTTTTGTCAAGAAAAAGGAACAACTATCTATTTAGCAGCAAATGGTCTAAAGTTTGAAAAAGCAATCTCACATTTTATAGATGTGAGCTCAAACTTTAATTTAGTAGACATCTCTTATGCTGAGTGGTTATTTTTTGTTTTTCTTGGCGTCTTTTTTCCTATGCTTTGTTTTCTTCATGCGTTTGCTTGCCCTTTAAGATACCCACACAAAAAAAAAAAAACAGAATTATTTTTACTCTTGGAGAGTGGAGACTAGTTGAGGAATTAGAATGGGTTGAAACTCCAAGTGATTTCACCTTTTATGTAGTAATCTTATTATTATTATTATTTTCAGTTATGGTACGACTTGAAAGGCTTATCCAGAAGCAGAGCACTATGGCCTCGGTGCTCGTGCCCCCAAATGAACCAATCTGCCTCCAAGGATGGTGGAACACGTCACTGCACCGCCCCCATCAATCTCTACAAATTGCTTTGAAGGTGTCCGCTCCTTATAGGCTCATTTTGCAATTTGCTCAGTGCCGTCAATTAAATATGAGAGAGAGATCCCCTCATTATTGAAACCTGCCAACCCCTTCTTGATTTGGATGCATGCTTTCAGATTCCATCCCAAGCCTCACGTGTCCCATTTACCTAATTACACGTTCTCATCCTATTTACGTGTACGTAGAGCTCTTGACTATTATGGTAAACTAAATCTTGTACGGGGAATAATCTGGTAGAGGCCTGCTCTTTCATAAAAATGGAATTTCAAGAAGAAAAAAGGAAAGTTCTTGCATTTTCTATCAATCCCAAATAACATGAAGAGCCATGTACTTGATTAGAGATGGAGATCATTATTATTGAAACATGAAAAGTTTCTTTACATCAAATCAATCCCGCGGGTCGATATATTATTACGGTGTCTCATTCCTTCCTCTTTTGACATTATTAGCAGGCTTGAGACTTGCCCTCCTCAATTATGGCGGTACAAACTCGCAATGCCAGCTCCATTAAATGCGCAGCCTGCTGCTTTCAAGATACCACACATGGAAACTATGCACATTTGTTGAGCGCGAAGCAGAATTTTTCTTCAATATTTCCTTTCATATTTAACCAGATGCTATAGATTGGGCATCCAAATTAACAACATAGAAGTCCAATTTTTCCCACTGATGGTGCCCAGGTACTAGGATAGATATCATTGAATGGCCGCATACTGTGAAATGATGCTATAAAATAAGTGAATTTAAACAGGCCTCGTTGGAGAAACTCGGTAAGAATTGATTATGAGAATCCCAGCAAAGCCAAAAGGAAGTATTAAAACGTGTATACAGCTCCCAAAGCTAGTTGTCCCTATTATACAAGGCTTCCTACAAAATTCATCATCAAGATCAAGATGTGAGAGACTGGGATAAGAATTCGGATGAGAGAGTGCTATGACATTGTCTCCCTGAACTGGCAATGCGACCTGTTATCTGGTAAGTAGAAACAAAAACATCTGGATGTACTCGGGGAACAAGAAAGAAAAAGAAAATAAGTTAGAACTTAGAATTCATGTAAAGCGGCTTACCAACAGAATTATGCATCTTGAATGTCAACGGAGACTTGACATCATGAATGTGATCTTTGATCAACAGTAACTTCAATGCGCTTCTCTTCTTCATCTGACTTTACTGTTAATGGCATGTCTACGAGCATATTGGGCGGGGCAAAATACATGTGTAAAGACATCATACAAATAATAATGCCCAAGAAGAGCTGCAAAGAAAGAGAGAAAAGTAAATCACTATCCAGTGATAGCATGATATTCAGATTCAGCTGGAGCGTGATGTAAGAAGAAATGACAACAAGAGCATTTATAAAGCCATTTGCACATCATGATAAGAATAAAATAAACTTACAGTAAGGGTATTTGGGGCAAATGTTGCACAAAATTTGTGGATAGTTAAAAATAGAGCTTGATCAATCAAGTTTTTGCACTTGATTTAATTATTCATTTTAAAATTTGAACCGGATAACCAATTTTATGGTTGTCTGTCCTTTAAGTGTCAGGAAACTGCTACAGTGCCCTTGCTTAAATTTCTCCCTTTACTTTTAAGATAGACAAGCTCAGAACTAGAGCAACAACAAAAACAGGTTTGCTCATTGTGGAACCCAAAACTCCAAATATTCTGCAGAAATTTGATCTGAGCTAAAAGCATGGACAAGACGAGAGAGCATAAAACATTCCTGAATAAAGAAAAGGTCCATGGAAATTTACCTGCAATGTAGGCTTGAAATTGAAGAGGAATATTGATAGTACCATTGTAAGGAGCATCGCCATAGATGTCGCATAAACCTAAAGAAAGCAATCAACTGACAATTAAGGGGACACGGCAAGATCATCAATACTCAATTTGTGCCATATTCAAATTACTTATTTTCTCGCAAAGAAATAAAATTACTTTTGAAAGATGAAAACATCAGACGAGTAAATGAATTATGTGCACAGCACAACTGAGGCCCATAAAAAAAGGGAGTCTCGAGAGAGCCAGAGGAGATACCTTCACAATATTATCAGCAAATTTCATTAACCATGAAACCAAAAGACCAGTAGACCCTAGGTTCAATACTACCATCCAGGTAGTAATAGTATAACCATTGAAAATACGTTGCCAAAATGGTCCATTTTCAAATCCACCTCTGAAATCATCCATAAGAAGCCTTGCCATATTAAAAATAGCACCAAACCTGGAGAAAGAAACTCCAATCACTGTCTAGTTAGTAAATGAAATTAAATAAAAATAAAAATCATCATGTTTTAGTGGAAATCCTAAGTAGTGATTAAGAAAACCCAAGCTCACTACCATTTTATCCTGACAGACACAGCAAAACTATGCTGTTAGAAATCTCACCCATCTCTCTAAAAATTTAAAACTAAAACCCCAAGATCAGTTCCGCCTCTAATTGGTAAATTAAAGCCTCGACCCTGCTTCACCAAAAGGTTATATGTTTTCAATGATCACTTTTAATTTATAGCCACATCCCACACCATGGCTCCAATCCCATTAAAACATGTTTCTAGGAATCAAATATAAGCATAGTCTACAAAGTAATAACCCAAGTAACTAGCCACAATAGGCATATAAATTAAGATTTCTACGGAAGCACAAAAAGCCCCAATAATTTTCCATTTTTCCATTTCAAAGTGTAATTATTTCTTATTGAAGTGGAAAATCTGAAAAAAAAAAAGTTATAGTAGGGGTGAAGAGAGAAAAATGAAGAAGAAAAAGAAGAAGTTTGAAAGATTAGCGGACTCATGAAAGCACTTGCATGTGTGAGTAAGTAAATGTGTCACGTGAAAAACGCAAGAAAGAATACCTACGTGTACATCTGTACATTCTGCCAGTATAAGCTGTCATTGTTTTTCTTCATCAAGAACTCAGTGTAAACACCAGCCAATGCAGAAAGACAAGCAGATAGAACTCCTAACACGTATCCTTGAATTGGTGCCGATAAAAGGGAGTCACATGAAGCCTCTCCACAGCCCCTGACCTACGTCAACAGAAAACAGTAGGGCTCCCATGTCAAGAATATTCCATAATGGGGCTAACATTTTAAACCTAATATTCAAAAGAGCAAGTGTCTCTGTGTGAGGAGCAAAAGAAAGAGAAATCTTCGTATATAGTGATGAAGGGATTTGTAAGTATTTACTTGCTAATTATTGAACGAGATGCCTTCTTAAATTCTAGTATCTAATCCTCAATTTTCAGTTTATTATATACTTGTATAGCAAATAGTGCATAATCAAAGATATCAGCTTATACAATTATACGATGGATTTGTAAAAAGCTATTTTCTTTTGGCACCTGACTTGTGGTTGTCCCAACAGCCAGTAATACAATTGCCATCCACTGCAGGTTTGAAAGCCTCCTTCCTAAGAGCAACCTGAAAAAATTATGTGATATAAGCAACTTCGGAGGAAACAAAACACATCCAATACTGATACAATCTTTAGACTGCGGTATCCTGAGGAAGAAGCACCTGAATAGTATTCCAGTAGTAACAATCTTTAGATTGCCCATTATCTGATATGTTGATGTATCCACGTAAGTAAGGGTAGCAAATTGAACGTTGTTGTGAATTAGATATATAATAGATGGGACAATGTATAAAGCCACACTCTTCCAGTCCATAGTCATTTTTGGCATAGGTGACTTGTGGAATTCCTTCCGCAGTAACAGACTTGATACTGCAAGCTTCATGTTAGCAAAATCAAATGTCAGGGATAAAGTAGTAATGGTAACAGATTTGATAACGGTCTTCACGGTGATTTTACCTTAAAAACCTCAGCAAGAAACGGGACAGTTGCATAATCATACTTATACCCTCCATTGCTCTGTGAGAGTGTTGTTAATATTCCCTGCCACAAGAAACGACCGTAATCAAGATAACATCTCAGTGAATTTGACGAGAGATTACCAAAATCAAGAAAATCCTCAGTGAAGTTTGGGATTTTAATGGCCAGCAAAGATTCAAAGATTTACTATTCTTGACCAATCAATTTTTTCTTCCTGAATGAATAGACCACAGTGCACTTTTTACAATCAATGCAGTTCGTGATACGGGATTAGGCGTAGCTAAATCACGAGATATGGACATGAATGTAAGGGATTTAAAACAGTAAAGGCAATGGGGAGAATTGTCGGTTTAAAACGTTAATTAGTGATAATACTGATAAGGAGTTGAAAGAAAGAAAGAAATCGTTCGCTCTAAACTGACCTGAGAACTTGTGAGAATGGTGAGAAGCGTGGCGACGAAGTACCACCGCATCTTCCTCGCCGTCTGAAGCTCTGAAATGCACAGAATCGCCGAGTTGAAAGTGAGTCAAGAATTCCAGATTTGGCACTAAAACGCACCGTTCCGAGGTCTATTCCTTTTTTTTTTTTAAAAAAAAAAAAGAAATCGCCAAGTGTCAACCCATATAATTTTGAGATCATTCTGGCTCAGGCCACTTAACTCCAACTTGTAGAGTTACTTTATGCACAGTTATTTTTTGTATAACTGTTAAAATTTGAAGGAGTTACTTGAGTGTTTAAAGTTTGGATTAATTGTTTAATTAACATTTAGTTGCTTGGATTTTGAAGAAAACTTAATTAATGTTAGACCAAATGTCACCGTTTAGGACCGAATTCATAAGCACACCGTCGAAACTCGCGGGAAATGTTTGCGCACGGAACAGCACATGCAGGATCCCCGGTCACCACCACGAGGGACCAGCTTCTACAATTTGGTAATTATTTGGGCACCCGCATTCCCAAAGATTCATAATTTTCAACGAGAAAATCCGCTCATTTTCCCGGAAGTTTTTCTGATGCTTTCATAGTTTTACGTCTGTTTGTTTTTGTTTTAGTCGACAGCTGCAAAAACCATTTGGTTTCATTCTTCCTTCATTTGATCCCGACGGATTTGAGCGTACACTAAGATTTTTCTTTTTATCATTTTGTAGTGCTTTCGTCTTTATTAGTTTGCACCGCAACAAACTTTGACCCCCCTGCTTTCATTCTTCTTTCTAAGGCTTCCGTTCTATGTGTGGGATCCATAATTATTGCCCTGGATTATTTTTCCAGAAAATTCAATCCCTTAACCAAAGGATTTAGCTTTGGCGAGGAAAAAAAAGGAATCCCTCTATCCATTTAAGAACATTGGGTTGACATGAGAGTAGTATGCCCTTAAAAGATTGTAACGCTTGGGATATGCCTAAAAAGAATTTGGATAATTTGTGTTGTGGGTATCTATTTCAGGGCCTGTTTTAGTTTTTACTGTCTATGGAGCAATTTAGACATGCTGGGGAGGCACTGGGAGGTTTGAAGGCCTTGATGGTGTTCAGAGAGAACATTGAATTCAACCAGAGACAGTGCTGTTTGTTGCTGGACGTCTTCACATTTGCGTATGATTTGATTGCTGAGGAGATTACGCAGAACCTGATATTCACAGAGAAGCACACAAAGTGGAAAGTTCTTGAACAGCCATTGAAAGAGATTCACAAGATATTCAAAGAAGGAGAAGCTTACATCAAGCAATGCTTGGAAAGTGAAACAAAGGACTGGTGGGCGAAAGCCATTACACTTTACAGGAACAAAAATTGTGTTGAGTTCAACCTCTACAATTTGCTCTCATGCATGCCCATCGTCATTGAAGCAATTGAATCTGCGGGAGATGTAGCAGGGTGGGATCAGGAAGAGATGGAAAGGAAGAGGCTCATCAACTCTAACAAGTACAGGAAAGAATACAGAGATATGAGCCTTTTCCAGTGGAAATTTGGGAAGCAGTATCTCGTTACTCAGGATTTCTGCAACCGTTATGACACAGTTTGGAAGGAAGATAGATGGTTTCTTCTCAACAAAATACGTGAAAAGAAATTAGCAATCTCAACAAAGTTTGAGAATCAATTAACAGATGTTCTTTTGAAGCAATTAGAAAAATCAGGTTCATTGGATGTGGAGCTACTTCCTAGTTCAATTTTGGTGGGGTCCAAGGACTACCAGGTGAGGAGAAGACTAGGGAATGGGAGCATGTACAAAGAGATTATTTGGTTAGGTGAAAGCTTTGTTGTAAAGCATTTTTTTGGAGACATAGAAGCAATGGAGCCAGATATCATTTCTCTTCTATCTCTTTCACACCCAAATATAATTGAATGCCTTTGTGGATTTTGTGATGAGGAGAAGAAAGAGTGTTTTCTTCTAATGGAACTGATGAGCAGAAATCTTTGCGCACACATTGAAGAAGTTTATGGCCCAAAAAAGCGAGTCCCATTTGCACTTCCTGTAGCAGTTGATCTTATGCTTCAAATTGCCAGGGGAATGGAATACCTGCACTCAAAGAAAATATATCATGGAGAGCTAAATCCTTCAAACATTCTGGTTAAACCCAGACGTACATTCACAGAAGGCTACATGCATGCCAAGGTTTCAGGGTTTGGCCAAATTGGCTTTAAGAACTTGAAACAAAAAGGGACCTCAAATCTGAATGAAACCGTACCATTTATCTGGTATTCTCCTGAAGTTCTCGAAGAGCAAGAACAGACAGGAGATACTGTAAACTCCAAGTATACAGAGAAATCTGATGTGTACAGTTTTGGAATGGTTTGCTTTGAGCTTCTGACCGGAAAAGTCCCTTTTGAGGATAGCCATCTTCAAGGGGACAAAATGAGTCGAAACATTAGGGCAGGAGAGAGACCCCTTTTCACATACAGTTGTCCAAAATATGTTACTAACTTGACTAAGAAATGTTGGAATGCTGATCCAAATCAAAGGCCAAGCTTCTCCTCCATTTGTAGAATTCTTCGGTATATAAAACGGTTTCTTGCAATGAATCCTGATTACAATTGCTCACTAGACCCACCAGTGCCACCAGTAGATTACTGCGATATAGAGTCAACAATCTTGAGAAAGTTCCCTTCTTGGGGAAGTTCGAATGCATCGCCAATATATCAAATTCCATTTCAAATGTTTGCCTATCGAGTCATAGAAAAAGAAAAAATAAGTTTAAGCTCCAATTATAATTCCGAATCAGGAAGCGAGGCTTCAGCATGTGGTGATGAACTTGCTACCTCTGGGGAGGAACTATATCCATCAAGAACCGATAGGAAGCATTTAGTTGGGCCTGACGATGTGACTATGAACAGAAGATATTTGTTATCAAGGAGATCCTTTGATGAAAGAACCAGCAGACAACCAGGTTATAATCAGGCTCACTTATCAATGCTTGTTAATTTCCATGAAATTGTTTGTCAGAGCAGTAAACTATCCCCCTGAAGCTCATGTTTAGATATCACAAAACATTTGAGTGTTATTACTAAAGACATGTTTAGGGGTTCGTTTTGGTGCCCCAAAACGGTCACACAAACACGCGCTAATGTATTCATTTTGCTTTTGATCTAATTGTCCTTTCTAAGTTTCTATAAATTGTCTCAATCTTTCCATGGAAGAAGTAACAGAACCCATCATCCTAAGGATGTAAGTTACAAAAAGTATTATACCTATTTAAGTTTTTGCATTCTATGCCAATATGTTTCATTAATGGAAAAGCAAAATATTGTGATGTCACCATGAAAATCTACCTGAAAATGCAGCGATTCTGATGTACTCAGATTCTTAACAGCTTCTTATATTTTTGTTTGAAAACAAGCAATGGTCTCTGAGATGGAAAATAGAATTCATTTAGGCCCAAAGAAAGTCCGTATTCTACCAACGTGTTTTCTTTGTGTTTATCAATGCAGGTACACCAAAGGCACGATCTGTTTCTGCTAGACCTCCACAGATGACTTTATCTGGGCGAAGCATGAGGACTAAATCAGAGACTCCATTGATGACGCCAAGTTCAAGAATCAGAAGGACAAACTCTGGTCATGTCTCAGATTCTGAGCTTTCTTTATCACGGCGCACCACAAACAGACTCTCTAGATAAAATCCAGACACCATGCAGATAATCATAACTCCACTCAATCATGAAGAATGATTTTCATTATAGAACGTAAGAAGCATGAATTAAAAGGAGCTTTTAGCTTGTGAATAAAAATAAGGGCCGTATAGTTTACTGTAACTATCCCTGATTAGCCAAGAAAACAGGAATTTCTTTCCAATTTTTCTTCTCTGTACTGATTGATCGATCCAAAGAATTAGATAAGTAGTCCATGAAAAGCTGATAGAACATACTAGCTCCGGTCTTTGATATAAGACTTTGTTTGACTTTTATTTTAGTCCTAAATATAAGATCCGATCCACTTTGTCTATCATATTTATGCATTTTTTTCTTAAGGTAGCCCTTCTAACAATGATAGTTCTAGCCAATACACTTGATTAGCAAGGATATTTTAGGAAAGATAACACATATTTATTACAAATAACTAACTAAGTTCTTTTCTTAATCTCCTCAAATTAGTTAACTAGCTTTTATAATTAGGACTGGAGGTAGTACCTTTTTTTTTTTTTTTTTGCCAAGCAGCTGATAAAACGTACAAAGTATGGAAAACTTTGGAGTACTCAGCCATCGATATGTGATTGATTAAGAGGTTGTGGCAAACAATGAAGATCTTGTTGCTCCTGCTAGAACTTAGAGGGGACCAGTGATACCTTTTAGGTAAGTGATGAAAACAAAGCAGATGGGAATAGAATAGAGTTCTAAGAATTCTATTGCAGACCCTCCAAATGGACGTACAGTGCTGCATAATTTCATATGATGGTGTTCAGGTGTTAATTTTAACTCTGAAATATTGATGATAATCATGCATTTGCCCTCCTTTAATAATCTACGTTCGATTTGATAGTTCTTTTTTTTTTTTTGGTATCACACTTGTATCAGCTCTACTAAATGTCTCTCACTTCCTAAGCAGAACGCGGTCTAAGAAGCATCAGTGTGCGGGAGCGGGGAGCAACAATGTAAGGTAACAAGTGTGACTTGCAGTTTCAAGCAGGCATTTAGCCTGGTCTGTTGTCCCTTCCTTTTGATCTGTGATTCAACAAAAACCCTTCCCCAAAATGAGAATCATTTGAGAAGAAGTACTAGTTGACAGTATGTTCTGATCAAGGAGAAGTTTGATTTAAACCTGTATCAAACTTTTCCTTCTCTGTTCTTTTTCATCTAAGCATGCCCTGAAGGAAAAGCTTCCACACCGTATTATGGCTGTGGTTTTTGAAGAAGTTCAGTCTCCAGTATCAGCCAGTGGTGCAGGTCAAAAGCCTAGATCCGTATATATTTCTGTGCACTTTGATCTAAAGAAAAAGTACTCTTCTTGTCATAATGTATGAAATGAACTCCTCACAAGATAAACTTTGAAGGGAAATGGAAGCCAACTGCCTCTGCAAACCAATCCCAATTCTAAAGCCGAGTTGCTTCATCTCTGACTTGCAAGCTCCAGAATCAGCCTGCTGTGCAGGGATCTGTGGTAATTAAAGTGGTAGGTAGGGGGAAAAAAAGGATAGAACAGAATTTGTACTATTCATCCCACGTGTGATGGAAGATGCAATTAAGAGAGCAATAATTACTCTCTCATTTAACCCATTCAAATAGGTGCCTATGATCACAGATCTATCATCTTTTTGCAAGCTATAATAGGCTAAATTTTGTATTCATGGGCTGATGCGTTTTGATCCTCCATGCATAAGACAAATCGAGTGTGTTTGGGATCACGTTTTGTGATCCCAACTTCTCACTAGCCAAACTAGCTTCTGGCCACAATTTTATGTTTGGAATCACGATGGAAAAAAATGAGCTTTATGAAAATAAGTAGCTTTTCGTAGAAATCATTTTTTGTTGCTTGTGGGATGCATCACGGTGGGGTGAGAAAAAAATGAGCTATATAAAAATGGGATACTCTCTCTCTTGCCTCAAAAGAAGTGCCATTTGCATAGAAAATAATCATGCTATCCACATTTATTTGTTGCATATAATAAAATTTATATCCTTTTCAATTATTTTACATCTAAACTTACTTTTTTATTAATCATCCAAACACGTTTCATCTTTTCAAACTGACTTTTTTATAAAACTCAATCCAAACATAAATCATATTACATTATCTTATTTTTATCCAATCTGACTTCTGTAAAAATCAGATTGAAAAAAAAGTTACTTCTCCACCGCTAATCCAAACACACCATTGGCTGGACCTCACGTGTGAAGCCGAAGCTATCAAATAATTATAGGCCAAAACTTTTTAAGCTATAGTATTATAAGGGTTTTCAAAATCTCGTGAATTTTTTTTTTTTCCCAGTTTTGTCCTTATCCACAACTAACACCCACAATTTTCTATGCATGATTACTCAGTTCACGTTAACCAATATAGGGGTAAAAATTTTAAAAGAAAAAAAAAAGGAAAGAAAGAAAGAAAAGAAATCTTAAAACTGCAAAATGTCCTCCATTTTGGATCAACAAGAACTTGAGTAAAATGTCCTGGATTCTGCACCAGGGGAGGTATAAAACATTCAGAATTATTATACATATGTTTCATAATCATTGCGTCATCTAAGTATGTGGACGCATGTGTTTTGACTTTGAGTGTCTAAAAGATCAAATTTCTTAATCTCAAACAATACATACGCGGAAAAAGAAAACTTGGTGTTATTAACTTAAGCATCCACATCTTGGTTGAGGTGTTAAGAAGCCTCATCAGGAAAAAAAAAAACACAAGTTCGAATCTGAAAAACGTACTTATTGAGAAAAGCAAAAATCCTTTGCGTTGTAAACCTCAAAAGAGAAACCTTGATTAAATCAAAACTTAAACATCCATTAGTATTTACAAGAAAAAATATTTTTATTTTATTACACAATATATATAACATTCATTACATCTTTGTAATTATTACTCAAATTTATTTTGTTTATCATTTAAAGAGAATGAAACAGAAAATGGAATTTGAAAATTGAGACTGAATTTTAGTAAATTTCTTAGCCACGTTAAATGTAGAATGTGAAATGTTTAAGACTATAGCTTCAAAACGATTGCGTAAAAGCAATCTTTGGCATATATTTTGGCTCAGTTAATATCTACAATTAGTAATTCAACTGCCTTAAATTAACAGCCCAATTAACAGTGTATATTTTTCATCAAGAAAATCTTAGTAATTTTCTCCTTCATGTGTTTCAGCATACAAAAATTGCATTAAACTATAAATTCATTGGCCATATTTACCTCTACCAAAAATTATAGTCTCCATCTACCCTTTCGCATTTATAGTCTCTTACTTCTCAAACTCCATGGCTAAAACAAAGAGAAGGCAATAATAGATTAAACTACGGACCTCACATTTCAATAAGGAAAACAATTTCAAAGAAAGTAGTAATAAAAAAATAAAAATTGAGAGGGAACAAAAAATGAATCCATACTTCAATTTGAAATTGGGTTCCTGAATCCAGGTGAGTTCTGATCATTATTTCAAGTTCTATGCTGCATTTGCGTTCTCTTTGTATGAACATCCCACAATATAATTATTTTTAGTGTTTTTCTTCTTATCCATCGATCAAATGTCCCTGTAGGAGATTATTTAATGTTTAACGTACTCTTTAATTAATAGCTGACATTCATAGACATTACAGATTATCGTCAAAAGATATATATTACCTTCAATCTTTGAAACAAAATTAAAAATGACTGGAATTTTGACCCAGAAATAATTAATACAAAGTGATTGAAATTTTAGATACTTATCGTGGGAATCAAGTCACAAGGTGCTATTCAAGTGACAGGAAGGAGGAAGTGAATGGGCAGAAATGGGTGATATTGAAGAGAAAGGGAGAGAAAATGAAGAAGAAAGTGGAGGAAAAGAGAAAGAAAGGTTTGTAGGAGAGCTAAACATGGTGCTGGTTTTGCTGTCATTGTCTGAGTCAAAGGATGAGACGAAGGAAGAAGAGGAAGAGAGCATGAGAAGATCACAACATAATGGAGGAGAGGTCAGAGCCAGCAAAGCCTGCATTTCCAAACTTCAACCCCACAACACTGCCATAATGCATCAACCCAAGCTCGTCCGCAGACCATTGCCCAAATATCATGCCTCCGTTAAAGATTTCAGGTAACTTTGTTATGATTCTAATCACCCTTCCATTAATCTTAATTTTGCGTGATCTGGCGTTTTATGATGTAAACATCAGAAAAGGGTTTCAATGTGAAACTTGGTTAATCATTCAGCCCATCATGAAAATATTTAACCCATGATGCTTATGATTGTTCAGGCATGGCAGGAAAATGTGAAGCACTTCACCCTCAGAACCACGAGAACCGAAGGACGAGTTCTATTGCAATCTGGCTTCTCTCCCTACAAGAATCTATCTAAACCGTGGAGACCGAAAATTTTCTTTACTTGTTCAATTTGATAGTTTCAATAGAATATTTGATGTATCATAACAAAAAGAATTTTATAAAATGCCCATTATTCATCTTTTTTTTTTTCGATTAAAAAGCTCTGATAATAGACATATAAAACGGCCATCAATTCGCTGTTTGGAGGCATTCATGATCATGGATGCAATGGGCATGAGCAATGAGAGCTTTAAAAATCACAGCAACGTCACATAAGATTAGCCATCAAGCATTGACATTCCTCTAAAAAGAACCAGGGAAGCAATCAAGCATCCATTTAATTCAGTTTTCACAAGTAAAATATATATGGATTGCCAAGTTTTCTCATTGAATTGCCTGTGGCGTACTGAGATTCTTTGACTAAACTAAAATAACGTGAATATGATTGCTCAACATGTTAATAATAATCCATAACCACAAATGTCAAGACCTTTAGGATGGGAAAAAGGAGGGTTCGTTAACTAGTGACAGATGGTTATACTGGTAAAATAGCTTTCTTGATTCTCGTAGAAATCCTTGCAGATATGCTCTTTGCATTGTTCTTTGGCAGCATTTATTGACATAGAAGACAAGTAAGAAACAGGAAGCTACACCATTTTCAAAGGAAAATACAAAATCGAGGGAGTAAATTTATGCATACTAGCTCAAAAAGAACTTCTATACCGATCCCTAGACAGATGGAAAAGTAGCGATACTCCTAATCTTGCCATCTCTGCATCCCCTTGACTACAAAAATACTACCCCAGTGCCACTCTAGTCAGATATTCTGATCTCTACTCCTAAAATGTCCTTGACCACCTCATATGTAACAAAAGCTATTGCTATGGATGGGACAACCTGCAAGACAGAGTCACAGAATGTTCTGATTAGAGAAAGATTAGGTCCATCAAACAATAATCATCAAGTGGGTACATTTTTTAAGTAAAACATTGTCAAATTTATAATGTAGTTGAGAAAATTCCCAAGCATTATGCTAGGAAAGACCATCTACAAGTCATACATAGAAGTCAGGGCAGTAATTGATTATATTACAAAGAAGTTGCTGGGCAAGGAGACCTGTCTATGGTTCAAAATTAGAGCGCATGAATTTTGAAAATCAGCTCAACCTTAAATTTTGTGATCATTGGTCAATAAAGAAAATAAGATATTTGGAGACTATCGTACAAGCTCGGAAACAGCACAGGACCAGATAGACATATATATAATTACACATGGACAAGACTACCAAATTATCAAGGTGCTCTGGAATTGAGATCGAGTAATAAGTTGTTCACGGTTACTACATCAATATTTGACTAGACCAAACTCATTAACAAGTCAATTTGGAAAAATAAGGTAGGCTTGTTAGGAATACATTTCTAATCGGAGATGACATTAGCAGAACAAGCATACTGCCTATTATGAGGTGTGATGTCTATGGAAAGTAATTAACATCCAAATATAAATATATAAGTGTTTCACAGGTTGGCATAACAAATAAGTATAAGCCGAAGACTTACTGACCTTTACAGAATTGGGTACCAGACCCTTGTACAGTGCTCCAAATCCCTCATGGTGAACAGTTTTTCTAAAAGCATCGATCATGCCAGTGTATTCAAGTGGTACCTTGGATCTTCCATCACCCGTTACCACAGAAGCAGCATGGCTCCAACCCACCATTTGCATTCTTCGACGAATGACATCAAGCGGGTAAGCAACAGTTTGTCCAACAGTTCCAGCTACAGCACCACATGCTAGCCGAGTTGTCACACTCAACTCCGAATCTTGAACTAGACCAAGTGGTTTGGATTTAACTAACCAATCCTTTAAAGACTCATACACAGCAAAGTTGAGACCCACATAAGGAATCTGCAAAAGGAGAATGAGAATTGAAGTCCATTGACAAAACTCTGCATAAAGCTTCAATAACAAGAACATGAGAACCTTAGTGAGTCGATAATCACTAGGCAGCACACAATGAACATTTTAGACATTTACCTCAAATAAATTCTAATTGATTCAACCCATTATTCTTTTTTCAGAGGCCAAAAAACATTATTTTTTTTCACTGACTTCTACCAATTGATTGACCAATAGACATCCAGATGTATCCGACATAACTGTGTATCACCATATCCCGAAATTCCAGCAGCCATATATAGGACCGGCATATATTAGTGGGATTACAAGTATCAAAATTTTGAGAGATCTAGAGAGCAAGTCACAGAATTATTTTGTTCTGAGTAAAATTTTTTATGTAAAGCCACCTTACAGAGGTGTAGAGCACAAATCCCTTTGTTCACCTCATTAAGACATGAAATTCTTTAACTGAAAAGGCAGGGGAAAGAAAATTTCTTAAACATGTATCTATCATCTAGATTACTTTTCAGTTTAAATATATGTAGAGCATCTATATCTAGATAATTACCATTTATTACGAAAGGGGTTAATCCCATGAAGTTGACAGTAAATAAAGCATAAGTTAGAACTTAATTATCATATGTCCATAGCATTCAGAATAAAACAGAATATTCTTCCAAAAACTTTACTTACAACTCCAATGACTGAAGGAAGCCATCCCTTGTACAGAGCACGCGGGCCTTCTTCCCTGAGAACAGTTGACAGGGCGTGAAAGATTCCTCTGTACTGGTAAGGAGACTTCTCGGTCTACAAATACAAAGAAAAGCAAACATGCTGAGCTCTACTCAGACAAAAACTCTAAAGACGCCAAATATAAATATCCAATCACATTAAAATTAGCTATAGTGACAGACTGACAATATTAACTTCTGCCTTATCATTCAACCCTTAATAAGCAAAACGAACACGTACTCATTCAGTAACAATTGAGAAACCATAGTACCTGCACAGTTATCCTGCCCCGGACCATGTCCATGGGATAAGTTGCAGACATAGCAATAATTCCAGCACATGCTCCCGCTCCAAGACGCAAAACAGGAGTTAGCTGAGCATTCTCTGCAAAAAAGGACATGAAACACTACTTTAAGACTGCCAGATGCTTTTTCAAAAATGCCAAACTATGTGCCAATTCTCAAAGACAATGAAGTTCGTTACAGCTATTATACATATGTTACTCCAACGCTCATTCACCGAATATAAACCTTGAAAAGAGATAACTTATAATCATCAATAGCATTCTGTGTCACTGTTCAATGATACGAATAGCATAAATCCAATGAATCTAAAAGTTAAAACAAAGCGTCCATAAGTTTCAGTGATGAACAAGGGCATACCATTTCCAGTTTTCTGCTGATATAGCCACAGTATGCCTCTATGAAAAAGCCAAAAAAAGTAACAGTCAGCCAAAAAAACCAAATGAATCAGAAATATGTGACTTGTTAAATTAAAGTTAAAAAAGCCTTGCCACTGGTCAGAAATCCTTCTTACATAGAACTTTGAAACAAAATTAGGCATATACCTTTCTTGGCCTTCTGGCTAAGATCAAGGAAAGGAAACTAAGTACTAAGTTTAGAGGGATAACATTGCACCCAAACGGAAAGCCAATAAGTGAAAATTCCAGACAATAAATCATCAAATTCATCATCCTATCCATAAGGAAAACTTACTTGGAAGCTTGCTCGTAGCTGAAGAACTTCACAGCAGAGTTAGGAACAATACGAGCACAATTAGTTCCATTTCCTTTAAACAGTCCACGGAAACCTTCAGTTCTCCAAATGTACTTGAGGCCTTGCAAAGTTCCATTGTATTTAATGTTATGGGGATTCTGGACCTGCATATGGCAAGGCCTACTGACTTATTTAACAAATCTAGACCAGCACACAATAATAGTTGGATATAATCTTGTGCCCACGTAAAACGGTAAAAGAAATGAATCATGATAGTTATTCCCAATCAGACGTGAACAACAAAATAAACAAACCTGTAGCAAAATTTTCAACCGCTCCAATGGAGCAACAGCAGTTCGTGACCTGCACAAATGCAAAAAAGTCCCAGTCTGTTAAAATTAAAGCTCTTCGTAAAAGCAGTTCTCAGAAAAGACACTAGACAAACACAAGAAGGATTTTGAAGTTATAGTAAATAACAGCTTCTGAGGAATCGGACTCGATTTTGTAATAGCTCAGAATGAAGTTCGAGTGACACTTATGAGCCAAGGATTCCAAAAATAGCGGCGCCACTGAATGAAAGATCACACAGTTATGCTACAACATCGTATAGAAGCGCCTAAAGAATCTATTTTTCTTTCAGTAATTGATGCTTGTTCCCGGACAACGAGACATCAGAATCTCCCAAAGTCACAAAATTTCGAAAATATTAAATCTTCACGAAACTACGGGCACGCGAAAACTAAATTAAAAATACTTCCAAGTGATATTTTCCTCTGAAATAACAATATTTTTTATCTAGAACTAAGCATACACCGCATTATAGACACGCTCCGGTAAAAATATTGCAATGAAGAAACGAGACTCACACTCCCCCAGCGACTCCGCCGGCTACCAAGGACTTGCAGATGCTCGCAAATGCGTAACTGGGAGCCTTTACACCTTCTCTAGCGAGCTTCGCCTCCTCCGCCAGATTGACAAACTTGGTCACGGTGGCTTCACTAGTTTTGACATCCTCCGAAGCCATAGAAACAGAAAACCGAATAACAGAAGGAATTCGTCGGAGATAAAGATCTCCGCTCGCCGGCGATCACTGAATGAAGCTTTTCGGGGGATTACAGGAAAGAAATGATCATTTCTCTTCCTAGGAGGATTCCAATGAAGTGGCCAGACGAAGAATGGCTTCGATGGCGCTGACAGCGGAGATTGAGAGGGAAAGCCTCCAGTGGCAGGAGCGAAAAGTGACGCCGTTTGGTGAGAGCCCCCTTATTTATAGAGGGGAGCCCCGGGCCTAAGGTAGTTTACGCGCTGGGAAGATGGGAAATCAGAAAACATCTGAACGACATGTGGCTTAAGGCCAACCTAGTGTTTCTCTCTCTCTTTGCCCCCGCCACTTTTTACTTTTAGCCTGCCAAATTTCAGGATGACAGTGATTTAGCATTGTCTCGTATTTTAATCAATTTTAATTGCCCAAAATTATTAAAGCATACCATAACAAAATTTCAATTTTAGTTTTTTTACCTCAAAAAAAAAAATTAAAGCCTGCCCATATCATTGAGATGTTATTACTTTGGGCAACAAATAAAAAAATCATCCAATTTTATTTCCTCTCGATGCGAATGTGATTTAATATGATCATAATGACAAAACTACAACTAATTATGTGATTTAACGTGACAATACATGCAAATAAGTGTCGCCGTCCACCAAAAGAGAGAATAACAAGTATTATGTGTCTCACATAATAATTAAGATTCTATTTCTGATGCACAACTAAGATGTGGGGTTTTTTGGGCCAAATATAAGAATTTCCGCCTAAAATGAAAGGAGCCATGGCGTGTGTTTTTCATTTAGTGCCTGATTAGGAGAGCTTAAGAAATTCCCTATAAACACGTTTTATGTAAATCGAGATAAAATTTTTCTTACATACTTACCTCGTATTCTATAAATCACTACTGAAAAGCTACTTATAAACTACTTATAAATTGTTCCAAACAAACCCTTAATATAATTAAACACATTCACACAAACATTGGATTCAAACTAGAAGTCTCATCTCAACATAACAAGTGGCAACAAGTCATGGTATAGTTGAAACTTAAAAATACTCCCCGGTACTTAATATAGGATCCAATTATTAAGTTGGTTTTTATCCTAAATATGGGACTCATTTTTTATATTTATTAATTTTTTCTAAATTATCCCTATGGATACTCCTTCAACCATAATCAAATAGAAGAAGAAGAGGGGGTATTAAAAAGATGATTATAGTATTTTAGGAAAAACATGTCATATTTCTTATAATTAACTAACTTATCTAACTTTTTTAATCTAATCAAATTAGTTAAATGAGTCTTACATTAAAGACTGGAGAAGCATATAATATGCTCTCTCATTAAGAATTTCATAGGAGCATCTCAGAATAACGTATTAGTCTTTAAAAAAAAACGTAAGACTAATTTGAAATTGAAATTAAGAAATTGAAATTAGGTTTTATTTGTGAGTTACATCAGTACTATTTACTTATTAAAGAATGTTTCATTTTCCCCCACATGGTTGCCTGCAGCCCCGGGCTTGCTTGTTTGCAAACAATTGTCAGATCCTCGCTGCGGACGGGTGAAATGCTCTAGGTGTGGTTAAAATGAAGATATCTTTTTTCAGTATAAAAAACTATAGCTGAGATAGATCTAAGATTCATCAGAGTCAACCAAGCTTAGACAATGCTTATAAAAGTACTTATAAATCATCTATTAACAAAATCCCTACATCAGTAGCATAATTTTAACTCATGACTTTATAAGTTATGAGCTGACATTTTAATTTACCAAAAAAAAGGCTTTTTTTTTTCAGCACTGATGGCCCTAATGGCCTGTTAATATACTCTTTGGTGTTGTAATGCAAAAATTGTACATGTGCTATCAACAAAGACAAGTCTAATTGGTAAGGTTTTGGATTCAAATCCCACCACTAATGTGAGAATATTATTAATGAGTAATTTATAAGTACTTCTATAAGTACTATTTAAGTTTGCAATCATGTCATGGCCTTGGTATGCCTTTGGGACTTAACTTAACTCGTCTTCACATTTTTGTATCAAAAAAATTGTATATGTGTGCACTAGCTAGCTAAAAGAGATGTCTATATTTTGTGTGGAAATAAGAAGATACACGTGCTTATAAAAAAAAAAAGTGTGAACTAAACTTCTAATCTCTAAACCATTTGAAAAGGTTTTAAATTTTACAAGGGTTGTTATGAATTTCATATAAGAATTAAGTTATCAATATCAAAATGATAATTATAAATTTCATTTCCAAATTGTTATATTTTAGCTGTAAATTTGCTATAATAAGTTGTTAATTCAATCCAATTTGCTAATACCAAGGAGATGTATATTTTTCAAGAGAATAAATTTTAGGGAAGTTAAGGGAAAAGTAGCCCATTAACCAGCTTTATATGTGTACAAAATTTGAAGAGCATTGACATTTTTTATGTATAGAAATTTACTAGGCCCTTCTTGCCAAACGATTTTTAACGCGGACTTTTTCCCAATTTTTATAAACTTTATTGATAAAAAAGTAATTGGGATAAAATGTGAAATTTATAAAATTTCGTACTTGTCAGGTACGATTAGCTTTGATTCCTTATATTTGGCATAGGAAACAGAGAATCAAAATGAAGGGTGTTCGGTGTCAAAGAGGCGTTATCCATACAAACTCACTCCCATGCTCGAGGCTTGGCCATTACGCTCCTTAACGGAAACCTAGTCACGTTTTGACGCCGTTACGCGTTGGTGGCTCCTCTTCCCCCACCCACAGAGGCACGCAGCCTACCAAACAAACAAGCTTTTTCATAAGAACTACAAATAAACAAAATGTTAAATGCCATAACTAATTTTTAAAATATTTTAATTACAATGCTAATTAAATTTCTAAATTTAAATGTCTAATCGTTGTGTGGGTATGTATATAATAAAAATAAACACTATAATTCGTGGTTGACGATAATTTGAGTTTTTAATTTCTTTTGCATCAATAGAATTTGAATCTAGATCACAATTCACATTTCAACTCACTTGAAGAGTTTTCAACAGCCATCCGTTCTTATGAATAAATTGTGCAAGGCTTTTAACAATTTCTCACTTAACAAGCCCATAAGTTTGTATTACTGCTTCCTCTCTGAATAATTTACAAAAATTAAAGAAATTAAATTAACTATTCGTAAAAAATATGTGTATTTATTTTTGGATTAAATTCCTTCCTATGTTTAAGGAGAGGTTTGGAAAAGAATCACAAAACAAATTAAAATAAATTGGAGTTTTATATTTGGAATCTAAAACTAACTGGATTTAGTATTTAATTTACGAATGTCATAATATCAGGTGTATAATTTGGCAAGAAATCATTTTAGTATACAGTACTATCTCGTGCTTTAAATATAAAATTTAGTGTGTAGTTTATATTTAGGGCTAATATTGTTTATAAAAGTTATATGTATTTATACGTGTATGGTGACAGCCAGTCTTCTCGAAATATAAAACAGGACATGACATTGAGAGGATTCTCCTTCTCCGCCACATGAACAGGAGATGAACAGATTCCACAAATTCTATAATAAATTACACTTCTTTGTTTATTTTTATTAAAAATAAACGGTTTTTTTTTTATTTTTACACCATATATTTTATTTTATTTCGTTTCGATTCGTATTAAATAACTCCTGCACCATGTTGTTAATAAACACCAACAAAATTAATTTCAAGCATACCGCACCTTTTCAGGGAAAAAAAATTCAAAAAAAGAGTGGAAATTTTTTGGCCAGTCAGAAAGGAAATTGAAATAAATAAAATTGCGTGGTTTATCCAAAATTTATTGTTGGGAGAATATTGCTTTTTCTTTTTGGATATATGAAGGGGCAGGTATCAAATTCTATATCCCAAACTTGTTTGTATTCGCAACAAAAGTTATGCTTCCATAGATTCGGATGAGCCAAATAAAGTGCATGTCATTTTCCCCCCTTTTTTCTTTGAAAAAACAAAAACAACCTTAATTTATAAAATAGCATTTGATATAAATTTGCGTATGACTAGGTACAGACCAATAATAAACAACCCAAGCATTATTATCTCTTATTCTAATTACAAGATCTTATTTATAATCTACAAACGAGGTTTATAATACTACAAATAAAGTCTTATAATTAAAATCGGAGGGAATATTATATAAGAATTTTTATAAATTGGTTTCAACTTTTTTTTTTTTTTTTTGGTACAAACTTGTGCTGCTGTGGTGTTGAAGGAAGGGGGAAAGAACACCATCTTTTTTTTTTGTGTGTAGAAAACAAAACTATCACACAGCTGAATGATTGGGCCTAATAAAGCCCAGACCATGGTTTGTGATTGGGCTTCACCTCTTACATGTCCGTTCGTTCTTTCTTTCTGGTTGCTGAAGCTGTTTCTGGCATTGCATGAAATCTTAAAATGATGAATTTCCAACTATTTTGGATTTGAAGCTTCTAATGCTCTAATATTTATTGTGACACCTAAACTCTCAATTTTCCTTATTTCTTTTATTCATTAAATTCTACACAAATAATTTGAAACTGCATCATTTTAAAACCACAAGATATCAAAATGTTTCACATTTTATATAAAATCTAATGATAAAAATAAACAAGAAAGATATTTGAAAACTTAGAACATTTTAAAGGACATTAAAGAGCACTAGACAAAGCCACGCTAGAGGTTCCTAGCCCAACAATTTTGTCCCTCGTTGGTTTTATTAATTATTACGAGTCCCTGAGTTGTGTTTACTCTTGTGACGCCGTATACATTATTTCTCTCAATTTTTAATATAAAAATTAGTTAAAAACTGTATTTGGTTTTGAATATAAATTTTTTAAATTAATTTGTCTCACTTATAAATTGACATATGATATAATAATAAATATAAGTATTTTAAAGAGATCATATAACATATCTATTTCTTAATATAAGACCTAGTTAACTAATTTAGAAAAATTAAAAAAATTAGTTAAGTTGGTTATTTGTAATAATTATACGTTATCTTTCCTAAAATACCGATATTAATCATGTATATTAGGTAAGACTATTATTTGATAAAACTTTTAACATGGACAATCAATACAAAAGTTATTTTGAAAAAAATAGATAAATATAAAAAATAAAGTGGACGGGGATGTTATCTTTAGGATCAAATTAAAAATCAAA